ACAAGAAATTATTGGTGTTTTAATTGCAATTAACTTCTTAATTTTTTTAAAGTAAACCATGGATAATATGAATCTGCTAAATTGGGGGAGGCAGAATTTGTTCCTAAAAAACATTACTGATTTTGTACAGATATGGCCGCATTTTTTTGACCTTTTTTAATTCGTGTAAACCATTTTTAATTTTGTACAAATCTGTAAACCATTTTTTGACCTTTTTTAATTTTGTACAGATCTGTGAACCATTTTTTGTACAGATTTTACAGATTTTGTTCCTAAAAAATATTACAGATTTTACCTTTTTTAATTCGTGTTATCACACACAATTCACTAATATTGCCGCATTTTTTTACCAATTTATATATTGTACAGATTTTGTTGACTGTTAATTCAAAATTCAATAAATGACCGCCAATATAAAAATATTTTAAAAAAATTATTAATAATGGTAAAAACGATTCACTAAGAGTACCCACAATATTTCGGGCCTCTTAGAAAAAAAATCACATGCCATGTAGAAAATAGACCTAGTCTATAAAAAAAAATATTTCACAATGCAATTAAAAGTGGACCTAGTCTAACTTATGTGGCACTAGAAAAAAGAGACAAAGTACACACTTGGGTTTATTTTGGACTCAAGTGCAAACTCGCCTAGTCATTAATTGTTCACAATTTTTTTTAATAGGCAAAACTTATTTTTTTGTATGCATTTATTATTACTAGATTTTCATTGGTTGTTTAGTATTCTAGATTTAGTATTTTTTTGTTTTGCATTGGATAAATTTTGAATTTTTTAGCTTGAGTTTGTCCTGTCATTATAGACTTAAGTCTATTTATTTGCCACATATGCAATTTATATATTGTATATATTTTGTTGACTTTGTTAATTCAAAATTCAATAAATAGCCGTCAATATAAAAAATATTTAAAAAAAATTACTAATAAAAGTAAAAACAAATTATTTAAATGGGATTTTAATTACTATTCCAAGTTAATGTCAAATTTTTTTATATAAATATAGTTAAAATAAAATAAGAAAAACGAAGGACAACAATACTTAAAATAATTGGGACCCAATTATACAGAGAATAACAGTGGCTTCCCTAGTCATATTCCCAAGTACAAAGATATTATCAATACGTGCTGACATGTGATGGGTTGTTAAAACTTAAAATTATCTAACAATTTTGTTTTCTTATTCTTGTCAATTTTACACGTGAACAAAGAAAAAAAAAAATCAGAATAGAAAAAAAAAATATATATAATAAATAATTACGAAATTTCACTTTTAGTACTACACTATGTTGGTCATATTTCGAAAAAGGTCCACCATATCGGGAGTCATCAAAATGGTCCGCTATATTGTCACTTTAATCAAAACTCGTACAATTCTAGAATGGATTGAAAATGCTGACATATATGGCTGAATGAATTTTTGACGTGGAAGGTCATATTCCTACGTGGATGGAAAATGCAGAATTTTAAAATATTATAAACATGCCCCAAGATTCAGACTGCAATTTTTTAAAATTTCTCAACAATCGCAGATTTGCCTCAGACTTTAATTGCAATTAACTAAAACTTTTAATATTACAAAATAGTCTCTAGAACTTATAAGTTTTTTTAAATACGAACCGTTGCAATCCCAAACCCTAATGCAGCCTCGTCTTCACCCATCTGCCTCTGTCATGTGACCTCATGCCGTCGCGGATTCTCATAACCACATGAACCCGCTGACAACCTCCTGCAGTCGAAGTTGCCAAATTACTATTATTATTTTTTTAAATCGCAACAGCCCGCATCAAAGCCCACTGCTGACACTCCTCCGACCACCTTCTTCGAAGTCACCAAACCCATCACCATCCCAATACCAAACCTTGCTCCTATGGAAAATTCCCAGTCCTCGCCGACGAAAACCCCCCTCCACATATCGTTCCTAGAAATTCTCCAAAATCGTGCTCGAGTTGACCGCAACCTAGAAGGGCTGCCATTTGATCGGATCTTTGGTGTCTGGCTCAACGACATCGAGATCCTCCGCAGGTGCATGGCCGAGCAGCGGCCCACCGACATTAATCTAGGGATTGTCAATGGTGAGTTGTGATGCAGGGTTGGGGATGGATTTCGATCATAATGGGGCAGTGGTGGTGTGAAGGTTCGTGGCGGGTGGTGGAGGTGGGTGAGGATGGGGAGGAACAAGAGTAGAGAGAAAACAACCATTTTTATTTTTAAATCTATCCACGTAAGAATTTCTTCTGACACGTAGGAATTTGACCTCCCACGTCAGAAACTAATCCAACCACATGTGCATTTTATCAGTTCATCCTGAGAATTATACGAGTTCTTATTATTGTGACAAAATAGTTGACCAGTTTTTATTACACCTAATATGATATACTTTTTTTTTCGAAAAAATAGCCAACATAGTAGACAGAAAGTGAAACTTTCCCAATAACTAATGCACACACAATAAAACTTTCTGTTATTAATTATTTTTTCTTTTTTATTCTGACTTATACAAATTTTGCAAGTAAACAATAATGAATAATGTTTATAATTACAAATGTGGAGTTAATATGTAATACAATTTATCTACATTGGTTTATTGAAATTACTACATGAATATAATTTGTGCAAATATATATAAAACATGTCTATAGAAAATATTAAAATCATCTAATGTGTAGAATTACTTAAAATATTCTATATTATTCTTGAAAGACGTATGAAATCACCTAAAAATTTTTAGTGATTGGAGGCTCGTAAGCTTTTGTTGAACACTTGGAGAAATTTAGTGGTTGTTTTCGGTGTTGAAGCTCGTTGAGAGACATTATTGATTATTTTGTAAAATGAGGTGTGCCTGGTGTATCATGGGCGCTCGGTTGTGCTTGGCACGCTTTGAAATCCTGTGTGGCAAATTTTTTAACATGGTTGTTTGATTTGGATGAATTTTAATTTAATTCAATTTTAAAAGTAATTAGGCTTGGAATATCAATAAATATACTAAATTAATGGTCCTTTTTACGAGCTTTACTTATGTAAAGTATCATTTTCAATTGTAGACGTGGTTTATAAGGTATAATTTTTTCCTGATCTTTATTTTTTCCTCATATTTCTTTAAAATTGTAACAAATTGGCTAACTTATAGTATAAATATATTTAAAAGTTAATAAACTAAATTTTTTAAATATAATATATCCAATTAGTTATGTTTTGATGAGTTTCGATTTGACATCTATATCATCCATACAAAATAAAAAAAAAATATTTATCTTTATGACTTAATTTAAATTATCTATTAATATTAATTAAAAAATAAAGTTACTGAAACTAACCTAACTATAAAGTAGTTATCTCGTTAAATTACAAAATATATATATATATATATATAATATAAGATGGTAAGTCGCATATGTATTTTAAATATAAATAATAGTATAATTTTTTTCGACAAAACTGAGTACTCTCTCTCTGTCTCTCTCTCTCTCTCTCTCTCTCTCTCTCTCTCTCTCTCTCTCTCTCTCTCTCTCTCTCTCTCACCAGAACCCCTTTGTGAATCCCTAATCTGCATCCTCATAGTCTGGCCTTTAATTAGTGGGTGCGCCTTCCTCAGACGAGCGACGAGAGTTGCGTCAGTATTCTGCTCCTGCCGAAGTTGCCTTTTCCTTGGCGTTGATGTCGTCATTGTCGGGCGGGAGGTGGAGGGCGGTCAGGTGGTCTCGCCGTGTTCTGGCGTCGTCTGGGGTGGTGTCTTTGACCTCTGGGAGTTGCGGGTATGTTGTTGTTGTGCTTGCCAGGGGAGGCTGCTGCTTCGGCTACCAGTCGGTTAGTTAGGGTGGTGATTAGAAGGGTTTTCTCCTTCATATCCTCTTTTCCCTGGGGTTAAGAGGCAGACGACGTCTCCAATCGTGACAGTGGTGTTGGTTGGGGTTGGGGAGGCGGCGGTTGAGGGGATTAGGCCGGTGTTCCACTGGCTGTGGGCCACGGTTGTCCGTCTGGGCTCGAGGTTGTGTTCTGGGGGGAGGGTCCAGTTAGGCTTTAGGCAATTTCTAGAACGACTTCTCGGGTAGAGGTCCGGTCCAATTAGGTGGTTGGTTGTGGGGTCGTCACGTGCTTCTTCTTTTTTTTTTAGTTGTGGTAGTGGTGTTTGTGTTTAGGTGTGCTTATTCGTGTTTAAGGTGCTAGGTGTTGTGTTTTGGGTTTGAATTTTTTTGTTTTTGTTTTTTCTCCCAGGTGGGATCGATGATTCTCCTCTTTGGGTACGTTGAAATTTTCTTTGTTTTGTGGTGAGTGTGTTTTCTAGCATTGCTAGATCTAGACGATCTTCGTATCTGTCCTCTCAGTTTTAACCGGCTTTTGTTGTTTCATTCAGCTATTGGTTGTTTTTTTGTTTGCACAATTGTGCGCTTCTATAAAATCTCTTTCGTTTCGTGAAAAAAAAAATTATTTAAAAACAAAAAAGAAATTAGTATTATTATTTGATTTAAAAATAATTTTATTTAACAAAAGTGTAATGGTATAGCGATATACAGATAGATGTGCACTAATAAATTATCATTATATTTCAAATAATAATATAGTAATTTAATTAATATCGAATGAAAAAAAATAAAATTAAAAAAAAAAAGAATTATATTATAG